GATTGCGAACCTGGACTCTGATGAATTCGACGAGCAACAATACAAGGAGCGAGCCCAGAAGCGACGACGCGTAATGTCAGATCTTGACCTGGAACATGGTCGCCTTCGACGCGATGCATATGCGGCTGCCGCTAGCAAGAAGCTTGTACTTCATGCTGAGCTTGGTAAGCGGCGATACGACGACGTTTTCTACGACGAAGCCCTCCATGAGGTACGCGAGCAAGAAGTCTACGCCGAAAAGGAGCGCAAGAAGGATATGCAACGCAAGCGACGTCGTGAAAAGTCGATGGCTGTCACAATGGAGCAGAAGGAAGCAGCTCTTGCTCGTGCAGAGGCCGCTGAGGACGAGACTGAGAGACAGAAACATCTGCGTGATGCTGAGCGCGCCAGCAAGAAGGCACAGCAAACCAAGCTTATTCTGCAGAAGGGTATTAAAGGCCCTGCTCGTAATCTCGAACTCAACCTGGAGGGCGGTACGATGTCTTCATTCCAGGCTTCTGATGTTGAATCTGGAGAAGCAGGCACTCCATCTGGCAAGCGTAAAGGCAAGGGTCGCAGCGGACCTCGTCTCAAAAAGTCCAAGGAGCAAAAGCAGGCTGAGAAGGATTCTGCTGAAGCTGCTCAGGCTGCCCTGGACGCTGGAGAGGAGTTACCCACCAAAGAAGAAAACCGGGTTCGAATCAAGATTAAGAAGTCCAAGAAGGATCTGTCGACCGATGCAGATAAAGATAAGGATGAAGCCGACAAAGATGAAGATGAGCCTGTTGAAAAGAAGACCAAGAAGGGCAAGGACAAAGACAAGGATAAGGATAAGGACAAGGAGAAGGTCGACGACGTCCCTGATAACGAAAAGCGGTTCATGTCCAAGGGCTACAACCAGATTTACGACCAGATCTGGCGAGACATGGCTCGTAAAGATGTCAACAAGACCTTCAAACTTGCTGTCGACTCTTACGCCACTAAGGCTTCCAATCTCAAGAAGACAGCGATTCTGGCATCGAAAGAAGCTAAGCGCTGGCAGCTACGGACAAACAAAGGTACCAAGGACCTTCAAGCTCGTGCGAAACGCGTTATGCGTGACATGATGGGCTTCTGGAAGCGTAACGAGCGCGAAGAACGAGATCTGCGCAAGGCTGCTGAGAAGCAAGAGATCGAGAATGCTCGCAAGGAAGAAGCCGACCGTGAAGCCGCTCGTCAAAAGAGAAAGCTTAACTTCCTTATCTCGCAGACCGAGTTGTACTCTCACTTTATCGGCAAGAAGATCAAGACCGACGAGGTGGAGCGAAGTACGGACAACCCTGATGTTGCCAAGGATGCTCACCAGATCAACCAGCAGAAACTCGACATTGATGAGCCCACTGGTCCTATGACCGGCAAGGTCACGAACTTTGAGAATCTTGACTTCGAGGAGGGTAGCGATGAAGCTCTCCGTGCCGCTGCCATGGCGAACGCCCAGAACGCCATTGCCGAGGCTCAGAAGAAGGCTCGCGACTTCAACAACCAGGGTCTTGACATGGATGATGAGGGCGAGATGAACTTCCAGAACCCTACAGGCATGAGTGATGTCGAGATTGAGCAGCCTAAGCTCATTAATGCCCAACTCAAGGAATACCAGCTGAAGGGTCTCAACTGGCTCGTCAACCTGTACGAACAGGGCATCAACGGTATTTTAGCCGACGAAATGGGTCTCGGAAAGACAGTTCAGTCCATCTCCGTCATGGCTTATCTAGCTGAGAAGCACGACATCTGGGGTCCGTTCCTCGTTGTCGCACCTGCTTCTACCCTTCACAACTGGCAGCAGGAAATTGCCAAATTCGTCCCCGAGTTCAAGATCCTACCATACTGGGGCGGTGCCAACGACCGAAAGGTGCTTCGAAAGTTCTGGGATCGCAAGCATACGACGTACCGAAAAGACGCTCCCTTCCACGTGTGTGTTACCTCATACCAGCTGGTTGTGTCAGATGTGGCCTACTTCCAGAAGATGAGATGGCAGTACATGATTCTGGATGAGGCGCAGGCTATCAAGAGTTCGCAAAGTTCGCGATGGAAGTGCCTGCTTGGCTTCCACTGCCGAAACCGATTGCTTCTCACAGGAACGCCCATCCAGAACAACATGCAGGAACTTTGGGCTCTGCTCCATTTCATCATGCCGTCGTTGTTCGACTCGCACGACGAATTCAGTGAATGGTTCTCAAAGGACATTGAGTCGCACGCACAGAGTAATACCAAGCTCAACGAGGATCAGCTCAAGCGTCTGCACATGATTCTCAAGCCTTTCATGCTTCGTCGTGTCAAGAAGCATGTGCAGAAGGAGCTTGGTGACAAGATTGAGCTTGACATATTCTGTGACCTCACATACCGACAGCGCGCGTACTATAGCAACCTTCGAAACCAGATCAACATCATGGACCTTGTCGAGAAGGCGACCATGGGAGACGATCAAGACTCTGGCACGCTGATGAACTTGGTGATGCAGTTCCGAAAGGTCTGTAACCACCCTGATCTCTTTGAGCGTGCCGAGGTCAACTCGCCATTTGCGTGTGCCTACTTTGCCGAGACCGCTTCGTTTGTCCGTGAAGGAAATGAGATTGCTGTGGGCTACTCGAGTCGCAACCTGATTGAGTACGAGCTTCCTCGCCTCATCTGGAGGCAGGGAGGACGACTGAACAAGGCCGGCCCAGACAACCAACTTGCTGGCTGGAAGAACCAGGCACTGAACCACATGATGAACATCTGGAGCCCAGAGAACATTCGAGACAGCACCGATGGGTCAAAGACATTTTCATGGCTGAGGTTCGCTGATACGTCCCCCTATGAAGTCTACGAGGCTACACATCAGAGCTTGATTACGCGAGCTACTAAGGAGCTTCAAAAGCGTGATAGACTCGGATACCTGAATGTGGCATACAGCGAGTCTGAGGATAAGAACTACACCCCTGCCCATGCCCTTTTCCAGATCCAGGCGCGTCAGAACCGAAAGCCTCTTGCGGACATCACTAATGAAGGTATCTTGTCCAATTTGATGAATGTCGCTCGAGGAAACTACAACGAGTCTGGCCTTGGACGATTGGAACTTGCCGGTAGACCTCGTGCGTCAGCACCTCCGATTCAGGTTTCGTGCCGCAGCTGGGGTGCTGAGGCTGAACGCAGCGAAACTTTGTTCAATGCACCAATCCGCAAGGTACTCTACGGCCCTACGGCCACCGAAGAGAAGGCACTCGTTGAGAAGAAACTTCCTATGGAGTTGTGGCCCACCAGAGAATTGCTCCCCAAGCCTGATCATGAGAAGAAGGGATTCACCAACATTACCGTTCCTTCTATGCAGCGCTTCGTCACAGACAGTGGCAAGTTAGCCAAGCTTGATGAGCTTCTGTTCAAGCTCAAGAGTGAGGGTCACCGTGTACTACTGTACTTCCAGATGACTCGCATGATTGATATGATGGAAGAGTACTTGACGTACCGCAATTACAAGTACTGCCGATTGGACGGTTCAACCAAGCTCGAGGACCGACGAGATACCGTGCACGATTTCCAGACTCGTCCAGAGATCTTCATCTTCCTTTTGTCTACTCGTGCTGGTGGTCTTGGTATCAACCTCACGTCTGCTGACACTGTCATCTTCTACGACTCTGATTGGAACCCCACCATTGACTCACAAGCCATGGATCGAGCCCATCGTCTGGGTCAGACCAGGCAGGTCACAGTATATCGTCTCATCACCCGCGGCACAATTGAGGAGCGTATCCGAAAGCGTGCTATGCAGAAGGAGGAGGTCCAGCGTGTCGTTATCCAGGGTGGCGGTGCTAGCGTTGACTTCTCTGGTCGCCGTGCTCCTGAAAACCGCAACCGCGATATTGCTATGTGGCTGGCCGATGATGAGCAGGCTGAGATGATTGAGCGCCGCGAGAAGGAGCTTCTTGAGTCAGGCGAGTTGGAGAAGCAACAGAAGAAGAAGGGCGGTAAGCGACGCAAGGCCGAGAACACGGCCAGCCTGGATGAGATGTACCATGAAGGTGAGCAACCCGCCTTTCCCTTTACTTTTCCTTAAGCTAACTGATATTCTAGGCGAGGGCAATTTTGATGATGGATCCAAGGGACTCTCAGGTACGGCCACACCGGCTACAGCAGCCACGCCTGCCGACAGCGATAGCAAAGGCAAGAAAGGCCGCAAGGGAACTAAGAGAGCCAAGACGGCGAAACAAAGGCTAGCAATCGCCGATGGCATGATGGAGTAGAGGAAGTCAGCGACGTCGGAATAAAGCGACGCGTGTAATACCAAACGCAAGACTTAGAGCCTCAAAGGCTCATGGAAGACGAAGGGAGTTCACAGTGTATTTGCTATTATTTTCTTCATGGCCAGTCACGGCGAAGAACCGTCAATAGGGGGAGTTGGAAGTGAAAACAAGCCGATAAAAGACAGCAGGCCAAGGCATTGCCGTCGACCGGGACATGTACTATTACTATAGACGGAGGGTAACAAAGTGTGTCCTTTGGAATTGATCAAGTGAATGGATGGCCAGTGAATATGAAGTTGATGAACGAGGTGGTCCTCACCGTTTGTGTCGAGTCTCGGAGGCCTGCGCTGTCCATGAGCAGCGATGTCATCCCCTTTCCCAACAACCAGCCATATCCGGTATGGTGTAGTGGCTAACATTTCGCGCTCTCATAACTTGAGAGAACAAGTACCGCGGAGCCCAGGGTTCGATTCCCTGTACCGGAGAAGATCTTCCTTTTGCTGCTCTTATATTAAAAGTAGCTAATATGCTTTTTATTCTTTACAAGTTTGCTATACCTATTTTATATTTATAAATAAAAGTGAAATAAGTTTTATTAAAAGTATATTACTTACTTGCTTACTTATTATTTATATATTTTTTTAATTTCCTCCTGACTTAAAAAGAGATATATATAACTCAGCCCAGCCGGCTTATTTATTATCTGGGTTCTTTACTTACCTAGCCCTTTATTTTCAGTAGCAAAGAACTACAAAAAAAGAACATCTCCGGTACAGGGAATCGAACCCTGGGCTCCGCGGATCGAGATGATTCTCCCTCATTGAATGAGAGCGCGAAATGTTAGCCACTACACCATACCGGAATGTGATTGGCTGTTGATGGAAGGACGAGAGGCATAGGACGACTAAGACTCCGAGGAAGGGCGTGAGTTATTAGTTGCGAGGTGCTGCTATTGAGAGCGGGAGAGCATGAGTGAGTTCTTGATGTTGATTGCAGAAGATAGTGATGATGGAAGATGAAGGTTGGAGTTGGAGTTGAGTTTCCCCGCATGCTCTGAGCGACCGCGCAGCCGAGCAAAGCAGGGGAAGGGGCCAAAGCCTAATGCCGTCTCCTCCGAAACATAGCTGCACGGGGTGTCAGATCCCATCGTCATCACTTACCAGGGTCATTTTCATCACCAACACTGAGCCCCTGACTTCTAATAACAAACAATCAGCCTTCTCTTCTGTTTCTCTATCGACATATTGCATTTACGCAATTAAGTATATGAGCCCAATCTTCTACTTATTCTGAGATATTACTTATCTATCTCGTCCTATCGTCCGTCAGTCAATAACACTCGACGACAAAAAGTAACCACAATATTTGCTCAACTAAACACGAATTCATTAAGAACGGCAAAAGGAAACTCCGGTACAGGGAATCGAACCCTGGGCTCCGCGGTACTTGTTCTCTCAAGTTATGAGAGCGCGAAATGTTAGCCACTACACCATACCGGATGTTATGGCTTGCTATGGTCACGTCTTCCAACAACGCCGACATCAATCGTGCCCCGCAGAGAGCCCTCCCCTTCTATCGCACTATTACGGGGAGACAAGCTCACTCAGATACTCAAGCACCCATTGCTTCACTGTGATTTTATTTCAATAGTTCTCACACTGAGACTCGAAAGCGCCAATAGTGAGATCCGTAGCTGTGGTCTAGTAATTAGTGACCCAGAGGGATTCGTGCTCAGTCGCACCCGAGGCTGGCCTTGCATTATGCTAAACATTAAAAGCAGATCAGAAGACCTGCTTTAAAGTATTATCAATTCCTTTTAAAACAGTTGAGGTTGGATCAGATATCGGCTTTTGATGGAGGGTAAGGAGCTCGCATCTTCTGCACTCCAATCATTCATCTTTCATGAGTGTACTGCCCGATAGTTGTATATATGCTGGCAAATACAAACTATGTCCATCGGCACTCACTTAACTAGGTAAACCGTCTTTACTTGGAAAGACAGGATCAAGGTGGTGTGTAAATCATCGCCGAAATTCGCACATTCACTGAACACAACACTTCAGAACAAAGCCTTACTAAATGAGTGGCATGGTCCCTTTTGGGACGCATTCCCATAGCTTGCTCATAAATCATTCGATAAGTACTCACCAGGGGATCGAATCTTGATAGACTCACCTTTTGATCACTTGAAATTGTTGATCGGTGACTGACCGTGTAAAACACGCAGCTGAAGAGAGGCTTGAGACCGAAGCAAGTTCGATATAAATGCTGTTCATTAATGCGAACAGAACAGTGTAATCAAGTTTCAGGAGGAATGCGAACAAAATAAAAGACTTCTTCTCAAATGCATTGGTTGTCTACCCAGATGTAGCAGCATGCCATCATCGAAATCTTCCTGGGCCTGCTTGCTGAGGCTCTCCTGTGACCCCCTAAGCCTGCACTTTCGGATGCGCAAACCATTTTGCAAGTCTCAAAAGCAATGTATGGGATTTTCGCTTGAGGTCTAAGTTATTATTGTTCCTTTTGTTTGTACCGGAGTCTGGCATTTATGCAATAAGTGGTGATCATTCACTGTGGTGATACGGTTTGTCACTTGCTGCCACTGCCCGGCGGTTTGTTTATACTCTCCCCTCTTCCCGGACACTACCTTCAAAAATTCTTCTGTACATATCCCCAGTAACTTCACAGCTTTCTATAACAAGCGTCTGGTATGTTTATGCTTGAAAGTTAGCAGCAACTGATCGACTGATGCAAAGCCCATCTCCTCGTCTCCTGGGCTTACGAAAACTTGCCCTTAGACTGAAGAGGATTTATCTGGTGAGTCTGATAATTGCCCAAGAAATATTCAGGAGTAGCTTCCAACATCTCAGTTTGCAGAATTTGTCTCCGATCCTCTTCTGCAGCTGACCGTGGCTCCCCAAACCTCACAGTCGATACCTGATATCCCTACCTCACAACCAGGGATCGACTATCGGAGCGATAGCACCAGAACGAGTAGATTCCGCGGTCTCTCCACCGTCACAGTCTTCACGTGGCATAAGATCACCTGTTTCTATGGGACCACAGCTTATTGAGGCAACATACCTCATGACTCGCGAGATGGCGATGCGACAGGCTGGCGATCTGGAACAGAAACTCGGTCACCGAGACTGCGACCAAGCGTCTTTGCTACCTGGAATGACCCAGTGGCTTTCATCTCCAGTCATAAAGGTCCTCAGTGAGGATATGAAAAACAGGGTGTTCATGTGGTGCCAACAATACAGTCAGGGCTGGCTGGACGAAATACGAGCCGCTCAAGACGACCTTTTGGAATACCGCTACACAACTTCTGTCGAGGAGCCATCGTCTCTCACCTACACGGCCAACGCTTTGCAAAAGGAAATCAGCGACAAGCTTGATGCTTTTAAGAGCGAGTTGATGAAAGCACAGCAGGACAATTTGTCTGCAGCGCTCGCTCAGATGCAATGCCTGCAAGTCCATGATCAGACATCTTCAACTGAGTCTTCCAACAAACGACGACGTACCAATACCCAGGGATCTCCCTCTGACGAGATACAAGAGAAGCTTCTAAAAGTCGATGAAGCCCTTTGCCTTTTGGTGCATGAGCGCAGCGAAGTCCTCAAGCATTTCCGCATTATTGCAACAAATATCGACCCAAACTTCACCCAAAAGCGATCCAACTCCGACAAAAATCACTACACCGGTCGTCGCCTCAAGGAACTCCGCGATCATCAGAGCCGAAGTTTGGGACTTAGCACCGCAGAGTTGAAGATGCTGAGGGGAATACTGGCCAGTTCTGAGGAAGACAATCCGATGCTTGACGGCCTTGGGTACTTTTTCCAAGAGCTCCTCCCCCAGGACCAGTACAATGAGCTCGAAAGGGAAGCTGTTTTGCCGGGCTATGGAGAAGTTTGATGAGTAGGACAAATCATACCTGCATCCTTGCAGCACGAGTACGCACTACGTTTGTGCGTGTACATACAGGAAAGGGGTAGTAGCTATTCACAAGTCATTTGGGGGAGAGATAGATTTGTGGCAAATTCTCTGTCGAAGGATCTTATGGTGGATTGGACTGATGCTATACCTGTATACAAGTAATTAGCTGTGGGCGAAAAGAAGCGAATGTAAAAGGGGTTTGCTCGAGTTCCATGGTAGATAAGTCATTGCTGTGTTAGACTTCAATCGCATGATCTGAGGTAGCAAATAGTCGTTTATTCTAAGAAATATAATGGCACCCTGATCTCTAGGTATTTAGTTCGCCCATGTGATGCTGGTGGTGGAAGCCTTAGGATTGGTAAGTCTACCTAATGTGCTGTGCTGTGTCGTGTCGGGTCGCTCCTTCCCCTTTCTCCTGCACCTGCACCTGCTTTTCACCACCTCACAACTTGCACAAGCCAACTCACACCGAGAGACTGAATTTAGTCCTTCATCCACACAAGTTTGCGCGAGGGATCATTCACAACTCTCAAACACACAAGGGCTTGAAGCTTTTTCACCTGAGCCTTCTTTCTCTCCTGTCCACACCCTTCGCGCAGTTCGTCAATTTTACAAATCAACACTCAACTTTAGACTTGCACGGCGCAAGCAAGCACATCATCAATCATCATGTCTAGCATCGTTGACCTTAGTAAAGCGTCACCCCAGCAAAGTATGGAATCTCTCTGCCGCTCGCGTAAACTCACTGACGCGATAAGCACCTCAAGGAAACCCGACTCAGGCAAAGCCACCTGGGCAGCTATCCGAATCGACTCCCGCTCAACCCCAAGCGCAAGACCCTTTCTTTCTTTACAAAAAAGAATGCCGACTGGCTTGGATCAAGTACCTGGGCCTCCTAGGGCAAGTCAAGCTGAGAGATGGACCAGATGGCCTGCCGTACTTCATTGGCATGCCCCCAGAGTATTCGACTTTTCGAATTCAGCCCGCTGCGATGAAAACAATGCAACAAAAGGCATTATCTGATATCCGAAACTCACCCATTGGAATCGAGAATGTCTTGGATGTACTTCGAAAGAGACCTGTGCATTCGCACATTGGTTTTCATGCGATCTATCAAAAGCTCGTTGACCCTCGAGCGAAACCCACTACTCTGCTTGTCCTTGAATCGTTAAAATAGGCACTTAACCTTTACAAGGAAGATCGAGAGTGTCTGGGCCATTGGGAATCAATGGGTTCACGGAACGGCATGATACTCCTTGGCACAACAAACGCCGCGGAACCGGCTCCAGCAAACACTCGTCTTCCTAAAGCCATCATGCCAGCCATGAACCGTATGGTTGGAATACGTACGCTGGAAGAAGATCCCGCAAGCTTCCCGGGCTACGTTCTTCCTATGGCATCGTTCGAGAGGGCTGTTTGGAACGGTGAGAAAGCGAAAACCGAAGCTCAGCGTCGCCAGTACGCAGATATGGCACTTCGGTCGTTGCGCAAGTTTCTGGACTGCCAGAAAAATGAGGTGATCACCGAGAAGATAAATGAATTTCTTCGGCATTTCGAGGCACTAGCTGCCGCCGAGCAACTGGAGTAGGGTGACCAGAGCGGAAAGTAAGCCAGATCAAAGGGGTGATGAACTGCGGGTGGGAGATTGGCCATGTTTGCCATCTGGGAGGAATGAAAGCATTGGGACAGACGACCTACTAGGCATCTGCACGGGTTGAGGGAAAAGTTTTTGCTTCATCTTAGTAGGGGATTCAATGTGTACGTTACGGGGAGTCAATCAAGGATTCGGGAACATCTGCATGCTGTTGCCTCTGGTGTACCACTGCTCCAGCCCCTCGTTGGTCATCGTGTTATGCCAACCACATCCTCTCAAACCAGCCCGATTCCACGACCACTACTTCAAAAGTCTGTCATGGAACAGCCAAA